CACAGACACTGCACTGAGGAAACAGACACTGCACTGAGGAAACACAGACACTGCACTGAGGAAACACAGACACTGCACTGAGGAAACACAGACACTGCACTGAGGAAACAGACACTGCACTGAGGAAACACAGGATCCATTCAAGGAGCTCTTGTCTCAAGACCTAGAGCCATGACCACTCCCAGTCCTAACATACAGAGCCCACATATCCAAAGTGGCTATGAGGAAACACACAGTGGTCCTCAGTTATGTTTGCACCATAAACTTCTGATTGTCACTGTAATGACTTAATCATAGATCTTGTCTGGCTAATCAATTTCCCTCCAAAGGTTAATTTTTTCATTACAAACGTTACTGGTGATCTTGCTGGTACACAATTGCCACTTGTAAACTAAAAGCTCATCCTTTTACATTTTTATTTTTATATTTACAGTGAGAACAGACTATCTAACTTGCCTATCACTCATCAAAGACTTGGGGCCTTATGAAACCTTTCCTATTGTGTACAGTCACAATGATAGGTCTTGAATCCATCCAAAAGGAGCTCTTGGACTATAAATTATAGAATGCTTGGGGATAGTATCTGAACTCCCAAACAAATCGGAATCTTCTCTATAATATCCTTGATGATTACTCACTGAATCCCTCCCTGAACTCATCTTTCAAGACATTCCCCTGCATTTTTTTGAACAGTGTTAAAATGTTTTAAGTGTTTATGGACCCAGATCCACCTCCATATAACTTGTTTCCCTCCATCCTAACTCTGACCTCTAATGCAGCTGGTCCCTTTCCACATGAGAGACCTTCAAAGACAGCTGGCATAATAAACTCTAGTTACAAACAACAACTATGCAAGGCATTGTGTTTTGCAGATCTCACTCAATCCTCAAATAGTTCTGCAAAGAAAGACCCAAGGGTACTGACCAACAAACTGTGCCTCAGAGAAATTAAGTGATTTTCACTGTCACAGGCTAGCAAATTGTAAAACTAGAATTCAAATCCAGGTCATAACGCCTCTCTACTACTGCTCCTCTCCCAAATCCAGCCATCATTCCATATATATTTACACGTAGCCTACTTCTGAGCTCTTTCTCTGGGCACTGACCACACAGGTTCTCAGGCAAAGTGAACTGAGATCTATATACCCAACCCTGCCACTTAGCATTGGTGTGAGTTTTGGCAACATATTCTAAGCCACAGTGTACTCGTTTCTGAAAGTGCACTCAAAAGACTTTTCTGAAGGTTGAATGAGATCCTTCATGCTAGCTTTGCAGTGCTTGGTACACGATCAGTGCTCAATACATTAAATCTATTGGTCATTCTCCCATGCCACTGCTATCACTGTTATCATACTTTGTCATCATTATCAGTGATCAGATGATTTTTACAGTAACAAAAATGAATCCAACAATCAAGATGTTTTAACCAATAAAGAAAATCCTGGGCCTACAGCTTCCTGTTTAGCGCCTGGGTATGAATCATAAATGCAGAAGAGCCAGGTGTGGTGGCACATGACTGTAATTCCAGTGCTCAGGTGCTAAGAGACTGGGGCGGGTGGTGGGGTGGGGATCAGGAATCAAGGCCAGCCTGGGTTACGGGAGTAAGACACTATCTCAACAAGTAATATTATATTACAAAGGAAAACTAAGAAACTTTTATGAATAAAACTTTTAAATGTCAAATAAAAAGGTGAATGGGAAAACATACCTACAATATACATAACTGATAGTCTTATTATATAAATATCAATAAATAGCAAAAATATCAAAATTTCTATTTTCTAAAAATTAGGCAAAAAAAAGAAAAAAGAAAATTCATAACCCACAAATACCCAGTAAACATAGGAATAATTACTCATTCTACAGTGTTCAAAGAGTGTGAATATCATTGCTGATCCACCAAATTAGCAGCTTGCAGACACCCTTGCTGCTGCCACCAGGCCCAACTGAATTATAACATTTTAATACAGAACAATCTGTTCCAGAAATAGGATGGGTTAAATTAAGAATTAGGTGGAACATTAAAACTCAAAAACAAGAACATTTTAGTCTTCCTAAAGTATTCATAGCATATTAAGTGAAAGAGTAGTCCCTCAAACCACTACAGTAGGGCCCCAAGGTTTACAAAGAAAAAGGGGCAAGAAAGATGGTTCAGTGAGCAAAGGACCTTCCACTGAGCCTGACAACCTGAGTTCAATCCCTACTGCACATGGTAGGAGGGAAAAACTGACTCCTGCAAGTTGTTTTCCGATCTCCACACACTTAGTGTAGCATGTGTGCTCACAGACATACGTGCGCACGCACACACACACACAAAATATATATATTAAAAAATTTTTTAACTAAATAGAAGCATGTTAAAAAGATACACATCCAAATTCTAGCAGTCATTATCTCTGAATGTTCACAGTACACATGATATCGTATTCCTTTTAAAACTTTAAACTTCCTTAGGATTTCCAAATACTCTTTAACATGTATTGCTTTTATAAAATACAAATGTATATATCAATCAGATAACTAAGGAGAAACTGGCTCATCATATCACTATTTCTCTTCTAATTATTAGTAAGATGCCTTTGAAGTCATCTACTTCTGTACTTGTTACTGTGCTCATTGCTGTGACCAAACACCTGACAAGAAGTTATTTCAGGCGGGTGCAGTGGAGTGCACTTTTAGTCCCAGTTCTCGGGAGGCAGAGGCAGGCAGCTCTCTGTGAGTTCAAGGTCAGCCCGGTCTACATAGTGAGTTCCAGGCCAGCTGGGGCTACAGGGAGACCCTGTCTCAAAAAGATTTAAAAAACAAAAAGGTCATTTCAGAGAGGAGAGTTTACTCTGGCTCATAGTTTTGAGGGCACAGTCCAGGGCAGAGGAGACATCATCTGGTCACACTGCATTCCAGTCATGAAACAGTGGGAGACAAATGCTAGTATTCACCCAGCTTTCCTTTTATGTGGCCCAGGACTCCATCCCATGCAACAGTGCCACCCATAATTAAGGAGAGCCTTCCCACCTCAGTTAACCTAATCAAGATAGCCCCTCACAGGCATGCCCAGGAGCTTGTCTCCTAGGTGAGTCTAGATCCTGTCACGTTGGTAATTGATATTAATTATCACAGTGCCTATGTAAACTCTGTGTCTCAGGGGGCTGGTAAGATAGCTCAGCAGGCCGGGTGTGGTGGCATATGCCTTTAATCCCAGCACTTGGGAGGCAGATGAATCTCTGTGAGTTCAAGGCCAGTCTGGTCTATAATAATGAGTTCCAAGTCAGCTGGGGCTATAGGGAGACACAGACTCAAAAAAAAGATAGCTCAGCAAGTAAAGGTGCTTGTTGCCAAGGCTGGTGACCTGAGTTCAATCCCTGGGTCCCACATGGAAGAAGGAGAAAATCCATTCCCTCAAGTTGTCCTCTGCCATACACATACATACTTCATATACATATACATATACACACACATACATACTTCACATACATACTTCATATACATACATACATATACACACACACACACACACACACACACAAATAAATGCCATAATAAAAATACAGCTCTTAAATTAACCTTACTGTTGAAATTATTTGAAATTCAGTCTCTCATTCTAAGGTATAACCCAGAATGATACTATTTTTTATTACATATCTCCAGTATTTAAACAAGAATATACAATTTTTAAATTTTATTTTTATGTGTATGAATGTTTGCCCACATGCATAGAAATGCACCATGGGCATGCCTGGTGCCCATGGAGGCCAGAAGAGGGCACTGGATCTCCTGGAACTGGAGTTAAGGACAAATGTAAACTACCATGTGAGAATTGGGAACTGAACCTAGGTCCTCTGGAGAAGCAGTAAATGCTCTTAATCAGTGAGTTACCTTTCTAGCCCCTAGAATATACAATTTTTATAATTACATTTACTTATTTTAGCTTGTGTATGTGGGAGGGGGGGAATGACAACACATGCTTCTATATGTGCATAGAAGTCAGCTGACAACTTATGAGAGTCAGTTCTCAGGTCTCCCCTTCCACCATGAGGGTCCCATGGACTGAATTTAAGTCATCACTGAGCATCTCACCACCCCTTTACCACTTTACCTTTACCACTGAGCATCTCGCCAGCCCAAAAATATACAATTTTAAAGCTTAAATTAGTGAATAAAACAGAAAAATAAATCATTTCCTTTAACTGAGCCTGAACTTTGTTTTTAAGGTAGATTCCAATAAACTGAAGTGAAATTCTAACCATGACTCTAATGCTGAGGGGTCCTGCCTCTTTGTTTCCATTTTTGGGCTGATGGTCCCCTACCCCTAAACAGAGAAAGTAATGTTCACAGACTCCTTTACTTATGATGGGGCTATGCCCATTTAAACTCATCATAAGTTGAAAATACACTATATACCTAGTCTATAAACATCCCAGTTTAGCAAACAGTACACTACAAAGGACTGCTTCTTTCTCCTTGGGATCACATGGCTATCTAAGAGCTATAGTTCCAGGCTGCTGCAATCATTGTGACATCATGATAGAGTATCATACCAAAATAGTGTTAGCCTAGATCCAAATTCAAAGCAGTTTCTGCTGTACATCTATCAATTTCACACTACTGTACAGTCAAAATATTCAGTGGAACCATCATTAAGTCAGGACCACTTGTAGAAGCATCAAGAAATAAAATAATGTCCAACAGCTCTTTGCAAAGCATCACCTCCTGTCTGTGCTTAGCTTTCCCTACAGACCTACACCACAGTAGGAGTCAAGGCTAAGAAACTTGCACCATTTCAAAGTCCTGACAATACTATCCAAGATACATACCACAGGCAAATCTCCATCCTCTTCCTCCTCCTTCTCCGGCTTAGTGGTAGAGATAGCTGCCCAGCTCACATCGTCATCAACAATCCGCATTCTAAACGGGAACAATGAAAAGCTCAGAAAGGAACTCATTCTGGAATGTAAGTCTACGATATACACTTACCTATTGGTTTTAAAGTTCAAAATTATCACAGCCCAGTCTTTGTCTAGATGTACTACCCCACCTCACTTCATGACATCACTGACCATCTTTCTGGTGCCTGGAATGAGTCAAATTCCTTACCAAGTCAGTTTCACAAATACTTTCCCTCCCCCAAACCTACTTGCACTCTTTACTGGGAAACTCATTCACTCTTTACCCAGAAACTCACAGACTCTTTGGGCCCTAGCATAAATATAACTTCCCTGGACCTATCTTTCTTGCTTACCAACTCTCCACTCCCAAACCAGAAATTCCTGCTACACACTCTTAGAATGCTTTCATTGTATTTATCACAAGAGTTAGATTGATTCACTGTGTAAACTGATTGTACAAAGCCCATATTCCCATTAATTTATATACTCCACCAGTCTTTTATTTGGAGTTTTCTTTTTCAGACAGGGTCTCATTATGTAGCTCAGGCTAGCCTCAAATTCTATCCTCCTGCCTCAGCCTCCTCAGTGCTGGGACATAGGCATGTGCTACCACATCCAGCTGCATTCTGGTTCATCAAGGCCCCATTAACACAACGGTCATAACCAGGAGAGGAAGCAGTCAGTCCTCCATGCCCACAAATTCTGTAACTACAAATTAAACCAACCACAGATTAAAAATACCCAGAGAGTGGGTGTGATGGCATATGCCTTTAATTCCAGTACTCGGGAGGCAGAAGCAGGTGGATCTCTGTGAGTTCAAGGCCAGCCTGATCTACATAGTGAGTTCCAGGCCAGCTAGGTGTACAGAGACTCTGTCTCAAAACGACCAAAAAAAATTTTTTTTAAGTAAATAAATAAAAATACCCAGAGGGAAAAAACTATGCATGCACTAAACAGATACAAACCCTTTTTTGGTTCTATCTCCCTAAGTAATACAATAACTATGATATAGCACCTACACAGTAGTAGGTAAGGAATCTAGAGATGATTTAAAGTATACAGGAAGATGTATATAGTTTATACACAAATACTATATCATCTTGTACAAGGAATTTGAGTAGCTGTGGATTTGACGGACTAGTCCCTCAGACAGAGGTGTTCAATAAATGTGTGTCACACAGATAAACTAACCTGTGACGAGTTACTTGAGAACCCAGGGACACACAACACAACCATTAATCAAAGCAACCATTTCACACAAGCAGCAGTGTTCAGGATTACTTGATCACACAGCCTATAAAGTGGCACAGCCAGGTTTCAAATTCTGATCAATACTGTTCCAAAGCTCAAACACTTTTTGCTGCACGGCATTGACTCTTCTTACAAAACACCAGCCACAGTGAATTTAGCATCCAACTTAATTTTGAATATATAACTGATCACGTGCAAAGATCCCACTTTCAAATAATGTCATCTGAAGTTCCAGATGGAGACAACTTTGTGCAAAGGGAGAATCATTCAACTCAGTTCAATGCACCACAAAATTTTATCAGGTGAGAAATGGGAATAACAATCCTGTTAGATCACAGATAATGCTCCTAA